GTAGAGTGCTGTGGCATCACAGCTCACAGCAACTTCCAACTCCTGAGCTTAAGCGATTCTCTTGCCTCAGCCTCCCAAGTAGCTGGGACTACAGACACCTGCCACAACACCCGGCCATTTTTTGGTTGGAGTTGTCACTGTTTGGCAGGCCCAGGCTGGATTTGAACCCACCAGCTCTGGCACATATGGCTAGCACCTTAGCTGCCTGAGCTATAGGCGCCGAGCCACTGGCTATTTTTTTTTGCTGTAGTTGTCATTGTTGTTTGGCAGGCCTGGGCTGGGTTCAAACCTGCCAGCTCTGGTGTATGTGTCTGGCGCCCTAGCCGCTGAACTCCTGAGCTCAGGCAATCTATCCGCCTGGGCCTCTCAGAGCACTAGGATTACAGGCATGAGCTACCTTGCTCTGCTGATTGTCCTAAATTTTACTGATGAGAAAAAATCCAATCCTACTAAACTTACACGATTAAAGACAAAGTATATTTTACAACAACCTAATAGACATTATATCAGATAATGAAAACAATAAAAATAAATATTTTCAGAGTTAGTTTCAGCATAACATACACTCTACTACTGCACTTCCCATCACAGGAAACAATGCACGCGGGTGGGGCTTCCTACGATCTTTTTGTTCATGTGAAATCTTACAAAATAAGGTCTTATAAAAAAACTTCATGAATACACTCTTCGTTTTAGACATTAAAAAATAAATGTGTTTTTGATTTAGAGCTTATCCCAGAGCCCCTGATGTCACTGAGGAGAAGAGAGCTTTGGCAACTACTGTTTTGTGAAGTTAATTTGTTTGGCTCTGAGCTAAACTGTCAAGGTCAGATAGGCTGAGAAACAAAGCTTCATATTCTTGGTGCAAATATATAGAGATTCATATTCCCAAAGGAAAAGGAGTTTTAGTTAACAAGGAAAATCATTTATCTTACATTACACTGATAATTAAAGAATCCTAGAAAAATCATGTGCAGTACCCAGGGGAATGCCTCTAAGCCAGCAGGAGCCATCAGGTCAAATCACAGAGTAATTTTTTTGCAGAAACTTAACACATTTTCCCCCTAAACATTGGCTTGAAAACTCATCTCATGCTTAATTGGAATTTTTATTGTATCTGCGATCAAATATTTTTCTATTTTCATGAGATTACAAGGCAAAGCAATGAAGACATACTTTTTTTTTCGGTTTGCCCTCTGCCCTGGGTCCGCCCTCAGCTGCAGCTACTGCCCACTCTCTCCCACCTGTCCCTTCTGAGCCTGGCTTCGCTGACCTTGACTTCGGACTGGAAGAAACCTCCTCAGTGCATTTGGTGGCCAAGTATCTGACTATATAAGCAACTTGGTGGTCTCACCTTCTCCAGTCGAATTCTCTCTCCACATGCAGCTTCTGGCCCATTTTCAACTAAGATCAGGTCTTCAGAGGTCACCTTCCACTGGTGGCCAGCAAAATGCACCACAGCAAAGAGCCTACCGTATTGCCCAGTGGCAATGAGCTCATTCACCTTCCCGACGACCTCTGTGGGGAGAGGTGGCTGGGCAGTCCCCCATGCTCCCTCCCCTGCCCCTCTGTCCCCTCCCCCCCCCCCCGCCGTGTGCCATGGAGTTTCCAGTGGAGAGGCCCTGGGGTGCACAGGTGCACATGATAGCTCACCCTGTAGAACCTCACTGGCAGGCACCCAGCCCTTGCTGGCCCCCACGCAGTTAGGGGACAGGGCACAGGGTCAACCTGTAGTTCCCAAGGGCACAGGCACCTTGGCAGGCAGGGCTTTTACAGAAGGAAACTTCCCTGACTTCACAGAATGCCCTGGCCTGAGCACGCAGCACGCCTGGCTGTGTGTCTGTGACGCCACCTTGTTTATCCCCATTACTTATCAGTCTTTTTCTTTTTTGGCCAGGGCTGGGTTTGAACCCACCACCTCCGGCAATGGGGGTGCTGCCCATCCCATTACTTATCAGTAAGTGGCCAGTGGATGGAGGAATGAGCACTGAGAAGTCAAAGCTGAGGCCTTGTGCAACAATAGATACCCAGAATTACATCCCCACGGGTGGGCGGACCCTATCTGTGTGCCTCTTCCCACAGGGTTCTGAGCTCTGTCTGTTGTCACTGTCCTAGCTCAGGTAACAATCCCCTCTGTCTTGCACCTTTTACTCTGAACAGCATTCACTGACCACCAACACACACAGCCTGGCCTAGGGTCAGGTACCCAGAATGGCCACAAAATTCTTCCTACCCCGGAATGGGAGCCACGACCAGAGCTGCACTGGCAGCGGGTCTGGGAACATTCGCCTTGCACAGTATGTGGAATCGTACTTTCAAACACTTTCCAAAAAGGAGCTTGCACGCAACAATGCGGACTTCCACCTTTTTGGGAGAGGGAAGATTACAGGTACAGTGGTCGACCACACTGTCCCATCTCAGGACATGAGCACAACGCTGAAGTGACTCTAAACACCTCATGTGTTTCTCCCACAGCCAGGGAAGCACCAGCATCTGTGTGTCATTGGGCTCATCTGCTCGTCTGGGGAGAACTGCCCCAAACCCCACATTTCCACCACAGGAGGACATGAGTGACGGACCAAGCATCCTCTCCCCTCACCCAAAGAGTGAAATTTTGGTGTTAACTGGCAAAAATGAACATGAGTGCCTACACTACTGTGTTTAGGAGCTCCCAGAAAGGGGACATCCTTGCTCTGAGGCCTGGTGCCCACCTTGTTGGTGACCAGGGTGGGAGCAGCACCACCCTCGGGTCTGTCTTCCAGGGAAGTCCCTTACCTGTGTGGTGTCTGGTCTCCTCAGTGGGGTCAGGCAAGACAACTTCTGGCCAAGGGGGTGAGCTCAAGGATGTTTTAGGAACATATCTGTAAGAAATATTTAATATACACAAGTCACACACATGAAAAGGCAGCTCAAAATCCCTCAGAAATAGCCGTGCACAGAGCATCAGGAAGGACAAAGTTCTCCTCAGTCCCTGACTCAGGGCTTGCACCCTCAGGTTGCTTGCTGGAACCCTTGAAAGTGAGCTGCTCTGGCCAGGCAAGGTGGCTCACGCCTGTAATCCTAGCACTCTGGCAGGCCGATGTGGGTGGACTGCCCTGAGCTTACATGTTGCAGACTAGCCTGAGCAAGACCCTTCTGCTTCTCTTAAAAAAAAAAAAAGCAGGTGGTGCCTGTGGTTCAAGGAGTAGGGCGCTGGCCCCATATACCAGAGGTGGCGGGTTCAAACCCAGCCCTGGCCAAGAAAAAAAAAGGAATAGCTGGGTGTCGTGGTGGGAGCCTGTAGTCCCAGCTTCTTGGGAGGCTGAGATAAGGGAACTGCTTGAGCCCCAGTTGGAGGTTGCTGTGAGCTGTGACTCCACAGAACTCTATTGAGGGCGACAAAGTGGGACTCTGTCTCAAAAAAAAAAAAAAAAAAAAAAAAAAAGAAGTGAGCTGCTTTTTCCCAGGCCCTCATTGGAAGGGCCTGGCTGTTGGAGTCGCCATGGCTGTGTATGCATGTACCTGTGTGAGTGTGTGAGCTTGCTATCTTGAAGTTAAGGGATTCTGGGCAGCACCAAGACTCACTCTTTAAAAAAAAAATTACTACTTTTTAGAGACAGCATCTTGCTGTGTTGCTCAGACTGGTCTTTTTTTTTTGAGACAGTCTCACTTTATCACTCTCAGTAGAGTGCTGTAGCATCACAGCTCACAGCAACCTTAAACTCCTGGGCTTAGGTGATTCTCTTGCCTCAGCCTCCTGAGCAGCTGGAACTATAGGTGCTTGCCACAATGCCCGGCTATTTTTTTGTTGCAGTTTGGCCAGGGCTGGGTTTGAACCCACCACCCTTGGTATATGGGGCCAGTGCCCTACCCACTGAGCCACAGGCGCAGCCCAACTCAGGCTGGTCTTGAATTCCTGGGCTCAAGCGATCTTTCTGCCTCAGCTTCTCAACTTCTCAAGTAGCTGGAACACAGTCGCCTGCCACAATGCCCAGCTAGTTTTACTTTTCTTTTCTTTCTTTCTTTTTTTTTTTTTGTAGAGACAGGGTCTCACTTAATCACCCTTGGTAGAGTGCTGTGTCGTCACAGCTCACAGCAACCTCCAACTCCTGGGCTTAGGTGATTCTCTTGTCTCAGTCTCCCGAGTAGCTGGAACTACAGGTGCTTGCCACAATGCCCTGCTATTTTTTTGTTGCAGTTTGGCTGGGGCTGGGTTTGAACTCACCACCCTTGGCATATGGGGCCAGCACCCTACCATCTGAGCCACAGGCGCTGCCCACTGGCTAGTTTTTCTATTTTTAGTCGAGATGGGGTCCACTCTTGCTTAGGCTGGTCTTGTGCTCCTAAGCTCAATGGGTTCCTCCCACCTTGGCCTGCCAGATATTCACTATAGTTTTTAAGCTTTTGTTGCTACTGCCACTAGAAAGAGAAATTCCAGTCTTTCTGCTCCCGGGTTGCAAGAAGAAAAATTAGACTTGCAATATAAGGAAAACGTTCTGACTCCCACACCAAGGACCAGGTCCACTGTCCTGGCGCTGGACATGGCCACATGCACCTATGAAGACAATGGCTGCCTTCCTGCCTGCTAGTCTCAGGGCCCTGGAAACACAGACCTGTGCTCTGGGACTGACCAGGGGCTTAAGGAGGGCTGCAGGTGCCGCTCTTCAAAAGAAATCTCTAACCTGCTTGGTGTCCTTGGTGTCCAGTCTCCTCAAAGACCAGGCTGTGCCCAGTGTGAAAAGAACAAAAATGGGAAACTTTTGGGAAACTGGCAGGAAGGGTATAAGATACACGCAGGAAAAAATTAGGCCAGTGCAGCAAATTCTCTCTTACGAGTTCTTCCTATATTCAGATTCAGTTTTTCAACTTCTTTTTTTTTTTCTTGCAGTTTTTGGCTGGGGCTGGGTTTGAACCCACCACCTCTGGCATATGGGACCAGTGCCCTACCCTTTTGAGCCACAGGTGCCGCCCAGTTTTTTCAACTTCTTTTGAGAAACAAAAGACTCCTGTATCTCCCTGCTGCCAAGAATCCCTGATGTCACAGAAACAGCAGCTGCCGCTTTGAGTGCTTAGTGGGTGCCTGACACTTGTTCTAACCTCTGAAAATAAACATTTACTTAATTCTCACCAAATTCCATGGAGACAGATGCTAACATTCCTACCTTGCTGAGCTCAGTGTCCCCAAACTTTGAGGGGCAATCTGGGACTATACCCGGGGCTTCCCTACAGATAACCATGGCCCTGTACTGGGAATGGGATTGTGTTAAATTTACTTTCTGCAGTATCTAACACTTGTGTCATAGCTCATAGCAACCTCAAACCCTTGGGCTCGAGTGATCTTCTTGCCTCAGCCTCCTGAGTAGCTGGGACTATAGGCACCTACCACAATGCCCAGCTATTTTTATTATTTATTTATTTTTTTTGTAGAGACAGAGTTTCACTCTATCGCCCTAGGTAGAGTGCCATGGCATCACATAACTCACAGCAACCTCCAACTCCTGGGCTTAGGCGGTTCTCCTGCCTCAGCCTCTGGAGTAGCTGGGACTATAGGCGCCTGCCACAACACCTGGCTATTTTTTTGTTGCAGTTTGGCCGGGGCCGGGTTTCAACCCACTGCCCTGGGTGTATGGGGCCAGCACCCTACCCACTGCGCTACAGGCGCTGCCTGCCCAGCTATTTTGAGACAGGGTCTCGCTCTTGCTCAGGCTGGTCTCTAACTCTTGAGCTCTAGCAATCCATTCCCCTCAGCCTCCCAGAGTGCTAGGATTACAGGCATGAGCCACCTCAACTGGCCCTAAGTATAAAATTTTAACACAGAAGGTGCTTTTGCAAATTATATGAATTCTCAGAGATTCTGACACAGTATTCCTAGTTAGAAATCTTGAATTAGGCATTAAAGATTCTCTGTAATAGGGCAGCACCTGTGGCTCAGTGAGTAGGGTGTTGGCCCCATATACTGAGGGTGGCAGGTTCCAACCTGGCCCCAGCCAAACTGCAAAAAAAAAAATAATAATAACTTAGCCAGGCATTGTGGCAGGCTCCTATAGTCCCAGCTACTTGGGAGGCTGAGGCAAGAGAATCGCCTAAACCCAAGAGCTGGAGGTTGCTGTGAGCTATGTGATGCCATGGCACTCTACTGAGGGCGACAAAGTGAGACTCTGTCTCTTAAAAAAAAAAGATTCTCTGTAATAGCTCGCGCATGTAATCCTAGCACTCTGGAAGGCCAAGGCAGGTGGATTGTCTGAGCTTAGGAGTTCAACCAGCCTGAGCAAGAGTGAGACCCCATCTCTACTAAAAAAAGAAAAACTAGCCAGTGATTGTGGCAGGTGCCTGTAGTCCTAGCTACTTGGGAAGCTAAGGCAGGACAGTTGCTTGAACCAGGAATTTGAGGTTGCTGTGAGTTATGACATCATGGTACTCTACTGGTGGCAAGAAAGTAAGGCTCTGTCTTTAAAAA